CCAGCACTTTGATGGTGCAAAGCACATACCATACCTGGATACCTCTATCGCCAAGCGGTTCAAAGCGTTTTGCACTGCCTGTGTGTTGTCACCAAGCAAGGCGATGTCATCGGCATATTCTAAGTCAAGAACTCTGTTGCCTGGGAGGAGTTCGACTCCACCGTTTGCTAGACCGCACAAAGCATTCTGCAGAACATCCTCTATGACAGTTGAAAAGGAATGGGGATATGGGGCAACCTTGTCGAACTCCACGGGAGACGGCGAAGGGTGGCGAAAGTTGGCCATAGACCCTAACCCGACCCGAGGTATAACAATACAACTCTTTGAGGATCGACATACTTCTCAGGTACTCCATTCCTCAACAAACAGTTCCATAGTGCGGTCCTATCGACAGAGTCGAAGGCCGTGCGGATGTCTAAGAATACAATGATCGTTGGTCTTTGATAAGCATGACGGTGCTCTAGCAGCTGTCGGAGGGTGAAGATTTGATCGATGCATCCACGACCGGCACGAAACCCAGCCTGTTCCTCACGCATAGTGTACAATCGGCGGAGAATGACGGATACCAGCAGCTTTGACGCTATCGGGTTCAGGCTTATACCTCTATGATTGGCGCAGTCATCGATCGATTCCCCCCATGAGGAAGGGACTTGCTAAATTTTCCACACTTTAGAGAACATAACTTGTAGTTCTCTAACAAGATTTATTCCACCATCATTAAATAGAGCAGGGGGAAGGTCATCGGAGCCCGGCGCTTTGTGACGTCCCAAGGCTTAGATTTCCTTACGGATTTTCGCCTCAGAAGGTGGATCTGTTGAAACAAACCATGGGACATGTGCCGGAATAGCCGTGTGAGAAGCTGACACTGGAAGCCAGCGAAATTGTGCTTCGAAGTGCTCCACCCAGCGTTCAAGGCGTCGCTGTTGATTATGAATGGGCGAACCGTCAGCTTCGTAGACCGTTTCGCTCACACCTAAGGCTTTCCTACCGGTAACCCGGATGATGTGGAACAGCTTACGGGAATTACCCATGGCGGCAGCACGTTCCATCTCTGATGTCTGATGCGCGTTGAGACCACCAGATCTCGCGGTCTCTGCGTAGGCTTGCGTTAAGTTCACATCTCGGTACGAGTCGTGTTTGCTCGCTGCCGATCGGAATAGACCGACGTGCGTCAAGAATGCGTAGAGACTGCAGAAATCCAGGGTGTCACGGTGCGACGTGTCAGACCACAAATAACTAAACCAGCAGAATGCAAAGCATTCTTGATAATCGACCAGTGCTGGTTGACATTTTCGGGCGGGGTTGGTTCTAGCTTCTCAGCTAGCGCGTTTTGGAAGACAGTTAGACAAGCTGATTTGGACAGCTTATCATAGTCTAACTATCATGTCATGCGT